CTTCTTATCATCAACTTCCTGAGTAGCTTCCTCAAAAAACTCCAACAGATTTGTTAAACAGGATCTACCTCTCCTAAATCCATGCTGGCTATCCCTCAAAATGTTATAATCTACCATTTTCTCTTTGATTATAGCCTCCATAACTTTACCAGTTATACAAGTTAGACTGATTGGCCTATAGTTTGACAAATTACTTCTATCCCCTTTTTTGAAAATGGGCGTTATGTTGGCATGCTTCCAATCAGAAGGTACCATACCTTCAGATAAGGATTTTTGAAACAGTAAAGTTAAGGGTCGGCAAATAATATCCCTCATCTCTTTTAACGCTATAGGTAAGATGCCACCAAGGCCCTGTGATTTATTTAGTTTGAGCTTAGCTAGGCTTTGCAAAACATCAGCTTCAGTTATATATATATTAGTTATAGATCGGTCTTTTATTTTTTCCGCGGCTGTATATGGAGTTATGCATTGACCAGAAAGGTATTAAAAACTAAAGTTTGGGGGAGGTGGGACAGCTCTGTGAGTTGGGACTCAGAAGGCTGCCAGACTAATCCTTACATAGGCAGAGTGATGCCACCATTGGCCCCCTGAGCAAGGCCCTTAACCACAATTCCTCCAGAGACTGGCTGACACTACTGTCTGCTCTACGCCAGTTTCATGATGTCTTCTCCTGGGATGCTTTTATAGCTGTCCTGAAGGAGTTCCCACAAAAATGCTGAGCACATTGGCAATGTTTCCTTCACTCTCTGGTCAAGCTCCTCCACAACCATTTCTACTGTGTTTAGTTCAGGCGACCACGTCATGTGATTTGACACTTTATTGCTCTCCTTTGTAGGCGGCTTGGCGTGTCCTAACTTTTGACTGGTACTGTATTTATGCCATTTATTTACTGATTTGTTTTATTGATACCATATGTATACCATAGACTTAGGTCTCCTTAATCACAGTTCTCAGTAACCAACTTTCAAAACTGCACACTTTTTAACTGGCATTCGGCTGTCTTGGTCCTTAGGACCTGTCTGCATATTCATCTTCAACCTGAGCCTTTGGCTGAAGCCTTCATGTAAGTGTATTAGAAAAGACAGCTCTTCTGTTGTGTTTTCTGCATTTTCATTTTGTTTTCTTTTTGTTCTACCTTTTAAAAAAATCCAGATGCTGTCTCACGAAGGCCAAACATCTGGCAGCTGGCAGGGGAAAAGAGATCCACACCAGATTGGAGTTGTGCACGAGAGATGCTCAGCCGGTGCTCCCTAGACTGACCCGAAATGTCTCATCGCTGGGGAGCCAGGCGCAGTCTAACACATGCCACTTTATGAAGCACTGATTGTTTGTGAATTAGTGCTATCACCGTGGGTCCTACGGAGACCTGCACATGTAACAGAAATGGAGACTATTTTTAATGGGTGTTTATTTGTAAAGTGAGCAGGCGTGTGTTAAAGTTTACATGTATATGTGTGAGAGTGCTTACCTGTCTGTGTGTGCATGTTTATCTGTTGTCCCTCTGTGCCGGAGGTTTAAAGATTTGTAGTGAGAACAGATTAATTTGTACATTTATTTTATTATCCATCCATCTTTTATAATTGCTTATCCAGCCCAGTCCTTATAATTGCTTATCCAGTCCCAGGACATCCTGTATGGGATTGCCCCTCTGCCACAAGGCACACACTTAAACCCTATAGAAACACCAATTACCTGCCCACATGTGAAATTCAGATCAAGTTTTTGTTTCAGCCAACTTTTAAGAGTTACAGTCACAGAGTACTCAACTGGTTGGTTGAAACAAAATCTTGGTCTGGATTTTTACTTTCTGGACTGGAAATGTCCACCTGGTAAGCTCTAAGAAAGGTTTTCAGACTTTTGAATTTAATAAAAACTACACCAAAAAATGAGCTGTTCTGATATTGTGTGGAAAGCTTTTCTATTATTTCTGGATAACAAAATAAAATAACACCTGATAAGACAACAATCAGCATGAGGTACTCAAGAAGACCACAGTGGTAGAGCTGAATTTGATCAGTATATGTGACACTGGTGACAAAGGTATTATGGTCTACCTTAAAGTGATGGAACCATAGGCTGAGGAATGAGAGCAGTAAAGCTTTGTGTGATTGGTGCTCATGGAACCAAAGGCTGAGGACGGAAAGTAGTAATGCTTAGTGTGATTGGTGCTCATGGAACCACAGGCTGAGGAATGAGAGCAGTAAAGCTTTGTGTGATTGGTGCTCATGGAACCATAGGCTGATGGGCTCATGGGCCCAGAGATTTACTGTGAATCATGGCAGAGCAAGAAGAATGAGTACGATCAGAAGTCGCAATGGGAAATGTCCAGTCGAAAAGGGCAGGGATACCGTAGGGAGTCACATGATTACTCAGAAAGCCAATCATATACCTTCACCAGCACACAGACACAAAGACAGCCTATACTTCTCAAACGCATTTGCACATGCAGTACCCCTTCCTTTCTATATTACAGAACATCAGAAGCATTTACATACATGCTCCAGTACAGAAACGCAGCTTCTATCTTTTCAGCATTTTGACAAATCTATTCACACATATTCAAACCTAAACTCATTTTTTCGTGCAAACCTACTGTGAACAACATGTAGAAGAAAAATATCACATTCTGTTTCATTTGACTTTCTTTGGGTTGTATTACACATGCACTGAGACTTGAATGCACACTTGCTTGATGGTTAGGGGATATCCTAAGTAATGGTGAGCATTCATGCTTTTGGGAGGGGGGCGAGTAGTTTCACCACTGAAAACTCAATCTCTGCAGACATGGAGGTACAATTACACTTCTGCTCCTTGATCTTGCATGTATTTATTACAATTTTCCATTGAAAAATGTCCCTGTTTTAACAACTGTAGAACTGCAGGATGTCCAAGAAAAGAAAACTGCAACTTGAAACCAGCATTTTTTAGACAAACATAAGTTTTGTTTATAAAAGGCCAGAGAACTGAATCCAGCACTGAGTTACTGTTTTCATTCCTTCACCAGTCAGTAAATGAAATATAAGTGATTACTGTTATAATGGGAACAACTAAAAATTCAAGGTTTTGAGTTTTTCCAGTGCATCCATATGTTGCCAATATGCTGGCGCCATTCCAATGGTCGAATGTTTCATGTTTCACCTTATGACAAACCCTGTACATATTTAGTCTATTTACTTTTAAGCTCCTTTTCCATGTGATGACAAGTTACACCTGTGGTTCTTATTGTTTATTTACCCTGGTCCAACTCAAAGATGATTCCTTTGCTTGGTATGAGGTCCAGGATATTGTGAAAGTGAGGTGGTAATGGCTTTTTATGATCCACAACATAAATGCGGCTAGAATACTGAAGCACGTGAACGTGAAACCCTTTCCTAGTGTGAGGGAACATGGGAGAGAGCTAGCCCAGGTTCTCCCGGATGAGGTGAAGCTCAACCCATGTTAATCTTCATCCATTGTTGAATGTTAATGTTGGTACCTAAAGGACATGCGCGTTTTAAAAGTTATTTTTAAGGGGGAGACCATGAGGCTGACTCTGGCTCTAGTTAAGTGTTTGCCTGAACACAGCTTGTCCTTCACGGTCACTTTGATAACCAGCTGTGGTGTATTTGTGCAAAAGGCTATGGTGAGTAACCCATGCAGTGTGCAAGCTGACTCAAAACATATGAACTGTAGGTAGGAAGCAAATGCTGCCATACAGTTTAAATGAACCTAAAAGGAGTTTTGGGCATTTCTAATGTAGTCCCTGTGTCTGTGTGTGTGTGTGTGAGCGGGTTTACCTATCCTTATGGGGACACAATGTCCCCATAACGTGATAAATATCCGTTTTTTTCCCTTATGGGGACCGGTTTCCTGGTCCCCATAAGGGAAAACTCTATTTTATAAAAATTGGTGACTGCTATGAAAAAACTAAAAATGCAAAAACTCTTGTATTTTGTTAGGTTACTTATGGTTATGGTTAGGGCTGGGTAGGGGTTAAGGTTGTCATAGTTAGCGTTAGCATTTTTCCCATTGAAATGAATGAGCGGTCCCCATAAGGATATGTTTACTCTACATGTGTGTGTGTGTGGATTTGGTTTGTATTACTTTGTGGGGACCAAATATCCCCCACAATGTAATAAAAACCTATTTTTTGTACGTTGTGGGTACCATTTTTTGGTTGGGACATTGAGACCAAATGAACTGTGCTCAAGGCCTCAATCATTGCAGTGCCTGCAAAGAGCTATGGTCAGACAGGCGAAGAGAGTCGTGGTGGTAACCTTAGGACCTGCTTGTGGGCACTTGTACTGAGGGAAGCTGTCATGGTAAAGAAGGAGGTCTTTGGGGCAATGCTTGCATGATGGTCTTCTAAAACAGCTGATAGGTACCAACAGGTCAGAAAGACTGAAGCAAAGGTACTCACTGAGGAAATACTTTGTATATGTGAGGTTTGGAGAAACCATGGAGGGAGACTATCAAGTGGCTCCAAGATGTTCTGGTAGACCTTAGGACACCTCAGGAGGGGGAGTTGGCAATTGGACATGTTGAGGAAGTGCTAACATGCATGGGGGATATCATTAAGTAATGGAAAAAATACTTTGCGAAGCTCCTTAACCTGGATATGTCCACTCACCAGGAAGCATTGTTGGAAGCTTGGATCAGCACCTCTGGACTGGCAATCTGTCTGTGGTGATCCATATTTTTCCTACTATAAGCCTCCAAATGAAAGCCCATGCGAAGGTACCTGATCCTATCTGATGCTTGAAACTTGGATTTAGAAAGAATAATGCAGGTTTCGGCCTGGCTTTGGAAGAGTGGACTAACTCTTCTTCCTTCGCAGAGTTATGTGGCAGTTTGTGGGAATATGCTAGCATAGACTACCTGTGCTTGAAGATAATGTTCCCTGGTACAGGAATTTAAAGTACTTGGGCTTCTACTGCCTGCTATTTGGTCTTTTTATGAATGCAGTGAGCTGTGTCCTTGTCCTTGGTAAAATATCTAAGCCGTTTACAGTGGGTGTTAGTCTCCATTAAGGGTGCATCTTGTCTCCACTGTTTTCAGTTTTCATAGGCAGCATATCAAGGCGTAGCTATGGCTGCAAGGGCATCCTGTATGGTGGGCCAGAAACGACATCTCTGCTGTTTGCAGATCACGTTGTGCTTTTCTCCTTATCCGACCAGGACCTCCAACATACTCTTGAGTGATTCAGTGCTGCGCTTGAAGTGCCAGGGATAAGAATCCTTCAAATCCAACGCCATGGTACACTCAGTTAGAGTGGATTGCTCTTTTCAGGTGAGCGGGGAAAGTCTGTCCTTGGTGAAGGAGTTTAAGTACCTTGGTATCCTGTTCATGAATAATGGTGAGAGAGAGAGCGTGGGATTGACAAGCGGATCCTTACTTACAGTTAGGAGCTATGGGTAATGACAGACAGAACATGGTCAGTTCTCTGCCCAGCTGTTGGGCTCACTGTCTGTGACAGAGTCAGCAGCTTGGAGACCAGGAGTAACCCCTAAATTGTGAAAATTCTCCTTAGGGGAGAGGGGAGTAAGCTGAGGTAGGATGCTAGCTGGACAGCTCCCCAGAGCAGTGGTTCCAGCCATATTCTACAGGGGCCACAGTCACATTGGAAGGATTAGATCTCCCAGCTGGCTTGGTAACTTCTAGGGAACCTCAGAATGAGCTATAGTGTGTGCATTCTTGCTTGCATTCACATGCTTTGAGTATTCCATTACCATAACTGACAATGCACCAAGATGGCGGCACAAGGCGATTACGCAATACTATTGCTCTACTAATACTATTTTCTACCAAAGACACACACTTCAGACAAATCAGTCGTTTCCTAATCTCTCTCTAATCTGTATAAATTGTTCATTTCAGTATGAGGTTATAAAGCAGACCAGAGGGGCAGCTTGGTCATGCCCAGCTGTGCAGCAGTGGAGCCACCTGAAAAGCAGCTGCTGTCTGGCTGTGCCACCATCTTCCAAAGCACCAGCTGGACAAAACACTCAGCTGAGCCGCACTGGAATACAGAGCGAGAAATCTGATGGAATACACTCTTGCTGGTGTGAGGGCAAATTCATGTGGTTATGTCACCAGATATTAAACAGCCATGCTTCTGGGGAATTCTTATCCAGGCTTTGAAATGGGAATCATAGCTCCTCCTAATTCAGATGCTCACAAACCTCATTCAGAAATCCAGAACAGCCACTGCTTTTAATAACTGCCATTTAGCCACACTCCAGGCAGTTACCACCAAGCTAAGGCCAAATATGATTTAATTGTTACAGTTCAGTTGCTCCACAAGAGCATACTTAGTCAGTCCTGCTCAGTATTCACAATGAACAGTATTGTACAGTCAACATAATGCAATGTGATGTCTTACAATGCTGTGCAAAATAATGCAAGAGCTGAATGACATTGAGAGCTGTCTTAAGGACAACAAACTGGCCAGAGTACAGATAGCCACAAGATTGTCAGCTTGGCAGAGAGGTATACCTCTTAAAACCTGGCAGTCCTTTCTGTTTAATTGTGGCCAAAGCACTTTCAGTGGCAAACAATGATAAAACATAGAAGAATGTGAATTTCATTTTGAGTCTCATTTAAAAGATTTTTCTAATCCCCAGTACACAGAAGCCTTCCAACATGTTTCTGATTCACAATCTAGATTTTAGGGCCTTTGGGCTTAAAACTGGTTGACTTTTCCACATTTTAAAGAAAAGAATTTGACTATGTTGAATACATATATTTATCAGCTCTAAATTGCTTGATTTGGTCTGTTGCCTCTAAGGTACAAAGCTGTTTCTCTGGAATAGTGTGCTTAGGGAGATGTGGTTCTCTTTAAGTACCACCAGGGGGAGTGTTGCCTTCATTAAA